GGCAGTGAGCACACTTGCCCAGAGTGGTGGGCAGCCCTATCCGCAGCGCCTGGGGAGCAGTTGGGGGTTAGGTGCCTTGCCATGGACCATTGGCTCAGGAACGAACCAGCGACCTTCCAGTCACAAGGCTGGTTCCCAAACCATAATAACTTTATGTGCGTGAGCTTTTAGAGGAGGATGATGAATATTTAAATCTGTCATTTCGTCAAGCTTGTAGTCGGTTTCAGCATCGCTCCAAAAGTGTTTTGCTGCGTCTCACGGCAACGCTGCTCGCTTATTTCTGGTGCTGCGGTCTGTTTTCACACAGACGCAGACTGAGAAATCCGAAAGAAATCAGAGTACGAGTTTACATGCACTGAGAAATCTGATTACTGAGCTAAAATCCAGCTCTCTTTATCGGATTTCTTAATTGGATTTTAGACCGTACTCTGAGCTAAGAAATCACAGAATGCTGTTTACATGACCATTTGAATAATCAGATAACTGCACAAATGTTATGATATGATTAAGGATCAGATTATTGAGTGCATGCAATGTCATTGCACTGTTTGCACTGAAAGTGGCTGGTGTGCTACAGAAGTGCTTGATTTTGGACAAAAGCGTATAGCAGTGCGTTCATATCTTCTTTGGATCAATGTTTATAATACTTGTGCAAGCTCTGAGACACACATGGCATGTTGTAATGTCATAATGAGGGAGCAGAAGGCCTCCAGTGAGGCATTAGTCTCAGCGTTAGCAGGCGTGTTGATGTTCTCTCAGCTCAGCAGGCTCTCAGGTCAGCAGGCTCTCTCAGCTCAGCAGGCTCTCAAAAGTGGCTTCAGCTTTTTACTATATTAAGATGCGTACTGTAAACAGCATGCCTACGACTTCTCAGCACTGCACACTGATCCCAGGCCTGAACTCAACGCCACTGTGACCATCACACAAACCACACTGTCCATTCCCCTCTGATCTGTGACCAAATACAGTGGTCAAATTGTAAAATGGTCAAGCTAATTGCTGATGTTCTGCATGCCCTTTTGCGATGCCATTTGGGCCACTAATCATAGCCGTTCATCTCACACTAGCACACACATACACACCGTGATGATGGACTGCAGGGAAAGACAGATAAAGTTGTTTGTGCTATAGAGATGCCTGCAGGATTAGAGGAGCCGGACTGCTGGAGTGTGGCTTTGTCAAGGATATGCAAACGATCAGGGCTGGACAGTGGAATGACAGGTCAGGAGAGTGAACTGGACTGCATTTATGGACAGCTGTGGCTTATTTGCAAAGTGACTTGCAAATAAGCATTGATTTTTTACATACGGTACTGTGCAAAAAATTTACACAGCCGAGGAAATTGTGTAAAACCATTTGCATTTTTGCCAGTAAAAACTTTAGCATTCGAAAGAATGCAAATAAACATATATACAGCAAAGTGTATCATGAATTTCTCATTTTTAAAACATTATTAATGTCTTGGTTAGAAGAATACAGTTAGAAAAACATGGATCTTGCTGCATTCCAGTCATTGTATGGATTTGATGAAGGGAAATTCCACTAATTGCCAAGATTTCTGTCTAATTAAATGATTAAGATGTAAACAGTGTCATTCAGAGTGGCTTGATGTGAAATGCTCCCATCTAATGAAACTTACTGAGTCATTCACAGAGTCTGAAAAGTTTAATGCCTCTAAAACTCCCTCCCAAAAAGGTAATTGCATGTAATGGTTATAAGTACACTGCCTGATGCTGGAGACATTGTTTTATGATAGTTTTGAGGCAAGTTTATGGCTTCAAACATATTTTTAACCCTTTTTGTTGGCCTCTGGTGACCATTCAACTGGACCGACTCATCTGATATTTTTATTCATAGGCCTATAATTAAATGAAATAGTTTAAACCAATATGTAACAAATATTCAGTTAAAATATTTAATCTCTGATTTTAAAACAGGCTGAATATGCATTTTATGGCTAATAAATAAAAATGCATGTGGAATTTGCGACCCCTGCTTCCTATCATCACTGCTGTAAGGAAATCTGAGTTGGTAAGTGAGCATTTCAAGTTACACCACTCTGAATGTCTCTGTTTACATCTCAATGATTGAACCATCCAGAAATTTTGAAAATTTGGTGGAATTCCCCTTTAAATTACATCATCAGTACCTGATTTAATTTAATGAAGGATTGATTAGATAAAATAATGAATACTGGGCTTTCTCAAGGAGAGCTTTGGAAATGGTTTCACTAATGCAGCCAAACTTAAAATTACAGTGTATTATTTATTTATTTATTTTTTGTATGTTTTTTAATGTTTTTGGAACACATAATTGTGTACTGCCTAATAGATGGCTTTACACATCATTTTACTGTGTCCAGGGTCCTATATCATGGCATTTTTACTGCCATTTTAAAATAAAAGTTGGATACAAAATCAATCAAGTCTCACAGGTTGTGCCTTGCACTTCCCAGTCTTCACAGTCTATCCATGGAAACTAAGCTGCAAAATCAGGATGTTTTGAATTCATCATGGTTATGATGTCACAATTTACACATAATCCCCAGCCTGCAGTGGTACAACCAGTTCATGTTGAAGTGATAATTTCACTTCATTTGGGGTCAGCCAATCAGAGCAGAAAGTATTTACATACACATTTTAAAGTCACAGTAACAAAAACATACTGTTTAATTCTACAATAGAGAAAATGTTTCTAAATGGTCATATAAATATGAAATATGACTGTTTTTGTACATACAAACCACACAAATGTTGCAGGTGGCTTTCTGGTGCTTTTTTTTGTTATGCTACAGTATTTGGGTTGAGCTACAACGATGTAAGCTATTTACATCTCCTCCGTTGTCCCTTTTAAGTCTGACTTAAAAACCTAACCCTGTGTATGTGTTGTGTTTGGTCAGGGGAGGTGGGGCAGCTGAAGGAAGAGTGTCGCACTTTGATGGATGAGTGCCAGACTCTGAGGAACGACAACAGGCAGCTCTCCGAGAAGCTGCAGCTGCTGGAGCAGCAGAAAGCCAGGTGAGTGGCCCGATTGCCTGTCAATCAAGCACACAGATCAACCAGCGTACAACAGAACTCTGCACTGGAGCAGAATTCCTTCATGCAGTGATGTGAAAGTGCTTAACTCCTAGAGGTCACATTTATCGTTGGCCATAACATGGTGTAATTCACTTTTACTCATTTGTAGCTCAATGAAACAGTGGCTAAACACTGACAACATGACTGTTTCCTATTCCCCCTCCCACCACCCAATCTAACAGTGATCCACAAACAGAAAAAGACAAGAATAATGAAAGGGTTAACAAAGAAATAAAGCATCCAATATCGTGCCTACAGGTATATGACAGAATGCAGCGTTATAAAATAGAGGAATGATTTTAAGCCAACCTCAAGTGGTTTCTTTACACCCCATTGAATCTGAAACTTTTTCTACCACAAACATGCGGTCATGTGTTCCACAGCGCTGTATGTGTGGCCCAGGAGTTTTGCTCACACTCATCCCTTCTGTCAGCAGCCACAGGTCTGAGTATAGAATAACAGAAACGAAAGAACACTGAGGTTATTCAAAGATCACACAGTTAGGAATAACATTCGCTGACAGCTATAGAACATCTCTCAACATACTGCTGTCTCCCACAAGCGTTCCTGTTCTTGATGTATACATGATCTCCTTTACACACTAGTTAAACACACTCTTCTTAGCTCAGGGCCCTCAGGGCTCATTGTTGGGTGGTGCCTCATGCTTTAGTTAGAGGCAGAAATATGCTTGAGCATGGCAGAGGTGTCCTGTTTCTGTAATTACAACTCCCAACACTGACAGCATTGAAGAATGTTCAGGACGGTGGCTCTGAGTTAGTCTTTATGCATGTTGTACGTGACAATAGTTTAAGCTTACTTGATGCGTATGTGTGCATTTGCACATGAACTATGGAAGTCTGGAAAAGTCATGAGGTAGTTATAATTTTTCTGGATAGTTATGTTGAGATAACGAGTTAATTATCCTGTTATCTTATGATCACAAAGTTGTTATCTTGAAATAATAAGTTAATTATCTTGTTATCTTGAGATACCAAAATTGTTGTCTTGAGCCAATGATATCTCAAGATAACAATCCAGAAAATTATTGCAGCAGCGCATGGCCTCTCCTACGGAAGTACAAGAAAGGCCTTATGATAATTATAATTTTCTGGATTGTTATCTTGAGATAATGAGTTAATTATCTTGTTATCTTGGGATAACAATAGTTGTTATCCTGAGATTATGAGTTGATTATCTTGTGGTCTCAAGATTACAAAGTTGTCATCTTGAGATCACAACATGATTAACTCGTTATCTTAAGGTAACAATCCAGAAAATTATAGCAACAGCTCAAGGCCTCTTAGGACTTACATACTCTCCAGACTTCTGTACATGAACATTATTTTTTCTTTCAATTTTCTTTCTTTTGGCAGTTATGATATATATATATATATATATATATATATATATATATATATATATATATATATATATATATGTGTGTGTGTGTGTGTGTGTGTATGTATATTAATGTGAATCATCTTGGTGGCACAACAGACACTCTGCTTGGTCCAGTGATATCTAGGATGTCCAGAAGGCCAGGAGTGACGTCTTTCTCACAAAATTAGTCCTGCCCATTGGAAATTAAAATATTAATAAAACAAGAGTAGTACTATAATACTTGCATTGTTTAATTACAGACATTATTCTACTGAATAAAAATGAATTAAAAATGTATGTACATTTATTTAAACATGTATTATTTAGTTTCCAGAAATATCTAGGTTGCACCACCCTAGAACCCATTTACAACTTTATTTAGAAATACATTCGACTGTAGAATTCAACTTTTACAAAAATGCACTTTTGCATGAATGTTTTCTGACAGATTTCAGCAACTGCCTATGTGTGTTTTTACAGTCAACGGGTTTTAAATTCAAGCACAAGTGATGAATAGACAGATAGCAGACTGACTCCGTGATTCCATGTATTTGGTGTTCTTACTAATAAAATCAGTTTGACTGCTTTACGAACTGACCCATTCACTAGGTTTCTTCTTCTACTCCAGCTCCACTGACTCCTACCTGGCTGTCCGAGGAGAGCAGGACAACAATGAAAGCGCAAGACAGAACCATGGGCAGAAGGAGGAAGAAGAGAAGGCGGTAAAGGCCGAAGGCTACATGAGCATGTTGCAGTCGGAGCAGAGCGGGCGTGTGGTGGACGATTCCATTCAGAAGAACCTCTCCACTGAAGATAGAACCGTGAATCCTGTGGAGAGGAGCGAGGGCCTGTCCGAAGTCTTCTCCCTCCGAGACCAGCTCAAGCAGGCTGAGGAGAGAGCCTTCCAGGTCCAGAGGGAGGTACGTTATAGCAACAAATATATCACTTATTGAAGAAGTTCCAAATCCAGGCCGTTGAGACTGACATTTTTACAGTGTTCCAGCTCTTAATATGCCTTTGTCTGTAAGATGGGATAAGATAATTCACAGTGCTACAGCAGCAAAGGGATAGTAAGACACCCAAGAAAAGAAGTAACAAGAAAAGAATCTAGAAAGTACTTAACAAGGTAACAGTTAGTTACTTATTGCTGTATAGACTGTATATAATACTAAAGATAAAAAAAATCTAAGACAAAAAATATAAACTCTATCCTTCACATAACTCTGTTCACAAAAATTAACTATATAAATGTTATAAATAAAAAAGCAATATTTACACTTTAAGGATATTTTACCTGAATTGCACATGGAATATACTGTGTTCGAAATAGAAGAAAAATGATTCTCCAAAACAGGATTTGCAGGTGAACATGACTCAAACTGAAAATAACTTATATTATATTGCAAAAATTTGAATACGCCCTGGTCAAATTACATGTCATGTCACTTTACTGGAAAGAAACCTAAATATGGCATTTTTCTGCTAATTTTAGTGCACAGTTTCTATTTTTGAGTTCAACATTTTGGGAAAAAAACATAAATTAGAAAATGTGCCATAACTTTTGCACAGGCAACATTTTATGTTTTATATTTTCCAATATGTTAAATTCATTAAATAAACATTAACATTGCATTAAAATGTGCAGAGGTATGTTCTCTGTAAATGATGTTTTAACTTGTTTTCACTTAGAAAATCTGCATTTGACCAGGCGTCCTCAAAACTTTGCATACGACTGTTTAAGGCTGTAATGTTACCCACTGTTCTATCTAATGACCATGAGCTGTGGAGGTGTGACTCTATTTAACTGCTCCACAGAGCCTGGCATAATCCAGGCATTTAACAATAACAGAAACTTGGTTATTAGCATCCTTTACAGCTGTTTGTTTGGTTGTTGTTCCAAATAACCACATCATGCAATGTGATGCTCTCTTAAAAAGCCTTATGCTGTATTGCTGGGATTTCCAAAGCTCTGGTACTGCATGTGTCTGTGACAAGTCAGAGTTACTTCTGCAAATCTGCATAGGCAGCCAGTACTGCAGCAGAGGGAGTGTCCAATAGCAACAAAGCTTGTGGGCGATGCTGACCCCCACCTTATTAACAGAGTGGCTATAAGAAGTATAATCATTATAAAGAATAAAGGATATTATACATGCCAACCAATATGGCAGTTTGAGGGCAAGGGGACAGGGGCTCAAGCCCACCCTGGGGTCTATCTGTGTATATGCCCGTATGACAGTGATTACACATCTCTCTGTGATTTATGCCGTCTCAATTTTTTCTCTCTCAGTGTGAGGGGTTGAAGGGAGAACTTCTGGAGCTACAAGGCCTCTACGAAAGCAGCCAGAGGGAGAGGGCGGAGCTGGAGGCGGAGCTACAACGCTGCAGGGCAGAGCTTGACAGGTTGGCAGGGAGGAAGGCGCAGGTGAGAGGTCGCAAAGGGGTTGATTGTAATGTGCTCTTCTTTCCCTCAGTGTATATTAAGTTGGTTTCGAGATATTTAGCAATACCCAGGGTAGAAATGTCATGTATATATTTATTCAAATGTACTTTCTTTGCAGAGTAACTTTTCAAATACACAAAAAATGGATTAACACACCACAAACACATTGCAATTCCACGTGCTAACATGCTAATATGTGTCTGTGTGCCTTTGATGACACTTTGTACATGACCGATGATTGCATGTGGTTGTGTAACTACAATAATAGTCATCAGTGACGATCAGTGTCCTCCAACATGCGTCCTGTTCAGATCACTTAACTGTTGTTCGAGTGTCAGCTGATCACCGTCTCACACATGCTGTTTTGCGTCAACTTGTCCTTGTGTTGCGTCTAACAGTTTTAACTGTCTATCGTCTTCAATTTATACAAATACAGTATATAATATAACATGCTTTCCTGGCGCTAATGCTTGATTACAAAACATCAGATGCTTTCCTGATGCTAATGCTTGTGTACCAATGTGCACCTACTGTAGCAGTCTTTTTAAATACTTCTTGCGCAGCAAGACAGTATGTTAGCCAGCTAATAGATTCACTGTCCTCTAGCCTCTAATTGGACACTGCTTTCAGATTTTTAATCTCAGAAAGGAAGCTTGGCCGTCCAGTCTGAGTACTGTGTCCCATATCACTCACCTGTCCTCCATAGTTGTACTTCTATTGTGTGGTTAACCCCTCACTCACACTGTGCTGCTGCCTACAACTCTCAGGATTCCTTTGCTAGCGTGGGTCAGCTTTATACACTGAAAAAAAGTGATGCATTGAATTTACTTGATACAAATGTGTACATCATTTAGACATGAGTGAAATATATCACTTCAGCACGATGGTCTCTGACAGTATGTGAAATGGAAAACAAAATTTTGTTGATTTATATTCAGTATTGTGCAAAAGCCAGAGACTACCTTTCATTTGTTCCAGTCAAAACAGCCATTATATACAAATGATTTACTTTGATGGAGGTATTTCTGAACTAGTATCCTGCCTTCTGCCTCAATGACAGCGGGGATAGGCTCCAGCACCCCACTGCGACCCAGAAGGATAAGCGGTTTAGATGTGTGTGTGTGTGTGTATTTCTGAACTATCCCCATCAGATAAACAGCACTTAAAGCTCATCTTTGAGCGAAAGGAGAAAATCAAGCTGCTTCATGTCTGAAAACATCCACAGGTGTTTCTGTCCATCCTTCCACTGTGAGAAGACAACTCAGCACTATGAGTCTGAAAGGATGTGTAGCTGTCAAGAAGCCCTCACTAGCCGTGTTTACATGCAGCCTAATAAATTGTTAATAATCCGACTAATAGCTCAATTGGAATACAGTACGTCTGAGTACACAAATCAATCAGAATACACTAGTCTTATTGAGACCATTCAGAATACAAATTCTATCCGATTGAACGAGGTGGGTAATCCTGTAAATAATCTGTTAAATAGAAGAATAATAACCATGTAAACGCCTGTATCTGATTACATTCCCAATCAGAAAGTTTAAGTATGTTCTGATCATGTGCGTCACGTCATAGTGAAAGTTTATAACGTTCAACATGGCGGAGCAGAAACTGGTCTGCAGAGGAGACGAAGTTTATGTTCTGATCTTTAAAAGACGGCGGTGGGACGGACGTCCAGCTTATGTGTCTCAGAACACGACGTCTTCCTCTTGGCCTTCTTTAATAAGGACATGTGAAGGATGTTTTCCTGAGTCTGACATCATTTTCAAGCAATTAAAAACACAATCACTACTCACTGCTGCTCATCTCACTCTGACTGGACGTGATACTCATTGTCAGGGTAACATCTACACTAAGTGGTACTCTACGCATGCGTGTAATTTTGGATCAGATTACATGTAAACGGAGATTTTCCATCAGATTGTTGAGTAGAGTGAGCGTAAACACCTCAGTCTTAATCTATAATCGGAATGTATTCAATCAGATTGACAAAAATCTTTGCATGTAAACACAGACACTGAAAAAAGGAAAGAAAACTGGTAAACAAAGCAAAGAAGCTGCTGATGAAGCCCCAGTGTCCAGACCTCAACATCACTGAATGTTTGGGATTACTTGGATGATGAGAAGCAGAAAATGCAACCAACTTCTAAGACTGAACTTTGGAGCAGTAGAAAAATATCCCTGCAGATTTCTAAGAAAAACTGATAGTGAGTCTCCTGAAAAGAATGGAAGCTGTAATAAAGGTAGAGTGGACACACTCAATAGTGAAAAAAATGAAATGTAGTTTTTTGTAGTTTTTTCTGTTAAATATGTTTTCGGCTTTCTGATGCTGAAAAAAGAAAAACTTGTGCTTAGTGGCCAATTGTTTAAAAAATTAAATCAACTTAGGGTCTCTGACTTGAACAGCACCGTGTGTTTTATGCATAGGTATTTATTCATGTGGAAATAACGTACGTGTTTGACTCGTGTTTGATTCAGTGCATCACTTTTTCAGTGGCAGTGTGAGCAAGGATCTTTAAATGACAAGAGGGCGGCCTTGATGAAGGGATGAGTGCAAGGTCTCCGTCTTGTGTTTAACCATCTTTGGTGTGTTCTAATCGCAGTGTTTTTTTTTCTGTTCCCCCTCCCCTGTGGCATCTGCCATCGCTTTGTTCTGTTGCTTTATAACCACTATGTGCCACACGACCATATATGATCACAACGCACACTGCACAATCAAATTCTGAACCAATTTGATGTTTCCTAATAATCAAACTGCTTATCTATCTATCTATCTATCTATCTATCTATCTATCTATCTATCTATCTGGTTTACCTTTGGTCAACCCTATCATTCTCATTCCACTCACTCCTCTGTGCACACTGCATTACTTCATTTGTTATTACTGTACATGTATACCTTCCTATCCATGTGTGATCATTTCTTTCTTTATGTCTTTCATGTGCACTCTCTCTCACTTTCTTTTTTCATTTCTCTTTTTTCTCTCTCACCACCTCCTCCTCTTCCTCTGCCTCCCTCCATCCCCTGCGATCCCTTGTTTTTTCCCCTCAGAACTCCTCTCCTCCGTCTGAGTCCCCTGTTCTCTCCATACCCTTCATAGGAATGGTTGTAATAATGGCGCTGATATGGTGCTGCTGGACGGAGCTCTTGTCCTAAAGGGGGAAAGGTACGGCTTTGCCTTTTCTTTCTCTACGACTGCAGAGACAGGCCTCTCAACCTGTTGTTATCACCTTCACCTATGTGACATCTGGACACACAAGCCAAAGAAATGAGAGGTTTCTTTTTAGCTTGTAGTGAGTGGTCAGTAATCATCACTGTAAAAGTTACAGCAAAACTGTGAAATGCCGTACTTTTTTTTTTCTCTCTTTAATGGATGTGCACATTGTTTCACAACCATTCTACTCTATGAAATTGAAATATTGCTATATTGTTATATATTGTTATTATATTCCAAAATATTGATAGAATACATTATGATATTTCAGGGGTGGAGAAATTATGCTTAGGTTAAAGAATAAGTAGCTACTTTGTCAAAATATATCCAATTAAAAGTGGAATAATATGGAAAATATACTTGAGATATTAGATGATTTAGCATAGTTGTGGGCAGATCAATTTTAAAATGATATGAATTTGGATTTTTAATAAAATCGATAAATTCAAATGCACATTTTCTCTTAGAAATGTAATCAAGTAAGAATACAAGTGCTCAATTTTAGGTAAAATATAAATCCAGTATAATACTTAACTGGCCTACATCATGGCAAACTAAATATTTCTTTGCTTTCTTGAAATAAAAGGGTTTCATGTTAAAAGGATTCATTGTAAAAATTTCTAAACGTGCTGTTCACAGTCCATACAGTTGATGTGCGGAAATTAACCTGCAAAACATGCTGTTTGGAATTCACTGTTTTTGTTATGTGATGAAAACCAACACTTTTACATTATATTACTATGTCTGTATTCAGTCTACAGCAGTTCAGCCCCTGCCATTCGCCCTGAAGTTATAAAGTGTGTTTTAGCCCAGACTGCGTTTTTTAAATAAGGCACCATATAGTGCAACCAATCAGAACATAGCTCATTTACATATGTCAGTCTTAAAGGCACAGAAACAAAAAGAGCCTGTTTAATTCTAAAGGATAGAGAGGCTGGAAAATGATCATGTAAAATGAATTATGAATATTTGAGGTACATAAAACCATACAAAAAAAATACAGTGCAAATGTAGGACATGGGCTCTTTAGGTACACACACACATGCACATTATCTAAGTCGCTTATCCTTCTGGGTCGCGGGGGGGAGCTGGAGCCTATCCCAGTGCTCATTGGGCGGAAGGCAGGAAACACCCTGGACAGGTCACCAGTCCATCACAGGGCAGACACGCAGACATATACATTCACTCACACATTCACACCTAGGGGTAGTTTAGTATCCGACTGCATGTCTTTGGACTGTGGGAGGAAACCGGAGCACCCGGAGGAAACTCACACAGGGAGAACAGGCAAACTCCACACAAAAAAACCCTGGTTGCCCGGCCAGGGCGGCGGACAGTGCTACCCACTACGCCACCGTGCCATCTGGCTCTTTAAGTACAGTTACACAATACTCAAGTATTTTCCATCCCTGAAACTTGGGGTATTACATAAAAGCCCTGTTAAACCTCACAACAAGCACTCTGAACACTTTCAGTGAAGGTTTTAGCAGCAGGCAGTTGGAGGCAAAGTTGCAAGCAAAGTTGTTTTATATCAGATTTGGAAAAGTCACAGAAAGATTCCTGTATCTGATTTTAGAAGCATCAGCAGAAAAGCTGAATCTTTACAGAAGTGCAAGCGAAAAGCAGTTATAAACGGCTGTCACTGTCAGCACTGTGGAATGTAGCAACTTACTTGTTGTGCAAAGTGTTCCTGCTTCTTCTTTATTTGTGAACAAAATCACTTTGGGTTTGTATGTTGGACAACAAGCACACCGGACAGACACTCTCTGCTACTGGCGGAAACTCAACTTAACAATCCAGGTTTATTTCACACAAAGGCTTATTATCCAGTAGCTACAGGGACTTCCATGCAAATGAATGGAGCTATTCTTAGGTTATAGAAGTGTGTAATAAAACTTATGGCTTGTTAAGGGATTAATTGGTAAAACACTGAGGAGTTCAAAAATGTCCTGAATCTGTGTGGTTAACTGGTCAGAACTGACTTATACATTTTCTTTCATAGCAACTGTTGCTAGGTTGGACAAGCTTTACAGAGCACAGGCAAAAGGCCCATTCAACCTAATGCAAAACTGTAGCTCAGTTTTTTATTTTTTCCAAATACTGAAAGATATGAAGTAGAAAAAAAGACTAAGCTAGTAGCACTAGCTGAGGTAACAGACCTAGCATTTATCTGTTTATCTTAAAGACTGACTGCCTTTCTCTGTGTAAAATTCAAGCTACATTCGTCTACTGTGGCTTTATGTGGTCTCAATATGCCTTTAATTTAACAAAGTAATGGCAAAATGCTGAGTGATACGCTGTGATGTGCTGAGAATTGGAACAGAGTATTGAGAGATTCGCAAATGTTGCCACCTGTGTGTGTACCTTCAGTAAAAAGCCAATGCAAATCAAAGTTTATTTATATATATTGCTTTTTACAACAGGCGTTTTCGCAAAGTAGCTTTATATACAATCCGGGTCCAGGTCCCACTGAGCAAGCCAAGACCGACAGTGGCAAGAAAAACTTCGTAAGAGCGAGAAACCACAATGTTTCTAATTTTTAATTAAAAACAATGGTTTCTATTTTTTTGATGGTGCCTGACGAGACATGGTGCATCTGGTGTGCAGTGGCCTTAAGGGTCGGTTTACTGGACAGAAATTAAGCCTAGTCCTACACAGTACTTAAAGGAATCATAGTCCAGGACTAGGCTTAATCCCTGTCTGGGAAGTCAACCCTAAATGTGTTATTTAAGTTCTACAGTTTCTCAATTATTGTTTTGCAAACATTCTACAAAGCTTGTCCAACCTCACACCATTATTTATAAAAGAACACATTAATGTGTGAAGTGTCCACAGGTCTTGGGTCAGTCAGAGTTGAGATAAGATAATCAAAAAGGATCACAGGGCTGGTAACCTGAATCTGACAGAATCTGGCCAGGAAAGTCTGGCTCCTCTCATTGATCTTTCCTCATGCCTGCGTGCCAAAGTCTTCAAAGTGAAAAGCTCATGGAAACTGCCCTCAGTTCAGGCGTTCAGGCTCTGGGGGCCGAGCTGTGACTGAAACACTTAAAGAAGCATTGGAGAGAGAAAAGACGGAGTTTTATGAATGTGTTGGAGGTGTTTTGGCGCACTGTGTAAGATCCAGCAGAGGGGTTGCTTCACTCAGTAAGAGGAGACGGGATGATGTGCTTGTCATATTCACCCTGAGACCGGTGGAGATCACTGCTCCGGCCAAAACAGCTCCCACAACTCTGATTTCAACACTGCTGGCCAGCAGGGCCGCCCTGCCACACATAAACACAGGCTCACACATATACACAAGCTGGCCAGGCAGTTCATTCTCTGCCAACCTGATAACCCCAGAGGGAGAGAGGCAGCACAGCGCTGTTACAGTGTTTACTGGGTCATTGCTGTCAGCTGTGTGTGTGTGTGTGTGTATATCTGCAGGTCACATAGGGATGACTGCATTTAGCTCTTGATCCTCATATTCCCTGTGGAGAGCATTTGGGTCATTCTATATAAAGTCCACTTTTTTATCTATCCATAGGTGTCACTGGTGTTACCAATCCTCATTGGTGTTACACATAAGAAAGGTAACACCAGAGACAGTAACACCAGTGACATTTATAATGAAAAACGCAAAGAGCATCAAACCACATGCTGTCAATCATGGAATATCCACTGAAGTATGTAATTTAATCCATTTGTATTCTATTTTTTCACAGTTACCTAAGAATAAAGTGGGTCATACCAGTGACTTCAACTAAAAGCTTCATATGAAATTATGAGCTAATGAGAAAATTTCTGATAACTGAAAAGACACAGTGGACTTACCATGTGCTAAGTTAAGCCTGTAGCAACAGAACAACCCTTTTTGATGCTATATAGAACCATCTAAGGCACATTCACCATCAAGCTGAAGAACAATTTAACCATGCAAAGAACCCTTTAATCATGCAAAGGGCTCTTTAAGTCTTTTTTTCTTTGAGTTTTTTAAAAACGCTTGAAGAACCATATTTTGTAAGAGTGTAGACATGGAGTATTTTTAAAAGACCATATATGAAATGCGTACAGCTAAACAATATAAGACTACAGCTGACCGATATATCAGTCTGCTAGTAACATCAGCCAAAAAATGAAGACCTACAGTTTAACTAGTATTAGCAAAAATATTACTGATAATGCACCAATAATTTGTGACTTTTTTGGAAATGGCGTTGCCAGGATTCAATCTCCCAGTGACAGGAAACCTTAAGCAGGGTGTACACTACACAACTTGTAACTTCCCTTAAAATAGGTCTGGGTATCAGCCACAAAATCTTCCGTCAGCCCTAATGTGGACATTGTCCACCACCTCAGCGTTTAATTGTGAGGTGACGATGAGCATTTCAGTGTGAAAGTGGACATGGATGTTTGCACACTGACAGGTGAGAGTGAAGCACGTTGTTAAAGAGCTGCCGGAAGCAGTACGTGTGTGTGCTTGTGTGTGTTGGTGCCCCAGCATTGTTTTTCTGCATGTCTGTAATGCACCCACTCTAAAAGTCTCCTGAAGCATGCTTTATGTGTATGTATGCTATAGCAGGAGGTTTATAGACAGCAGGCATGTATCGGTCCGCTGGCTTGAAAAGGTCAGCACCCCACTGACTGTATGCCACTGCTGGTCCATCCAGATTATTGTCCTGCATACAAGGTCTGACTAGTTTTTAACCCCCTCAAATAGATTGTAAATGCATGAAGACTTTTATTATGTAACATACACCAAGACAAATATTACAAACAACTGAAAGGGAAAAAAAAGATTACTAGGCCTAATATAAAATGATTTTGTTGAAAAAATTGTTGCTGACACTGTGATAAAGTACAATTATTTACTAAACTAATTTACAAAGGAAAGTGAAAGAAAGGAATGAAGGAAAAGTAAGTAAATTGAACTGTGAGTGGAAAATGAGTGATGACAATTGGGATTTGTCTAATACTTCAGCACCAGTGGGCCACCCTGAAAATGCTGAGCAAATAACCATTAGGGTGCCAGCTTTGCTATTAGTAGGCCAACAGTAGCTCACTATATGGGAAGAATGGGGGCAGGTAGCTAACAAGTAATGGGAACAAGTAAATAGTAGCTAACAAGTAATGGAAGCAGGAAAATAGCAGGTAGCTAACAAGTAATGGTGACGGGTAGCTAACAGGTAATGGGAAAAGGTGAATAGCAGGTAGCTAACAAGTATTAGAAGCAGGTAACTAACAAGTAATAGAAGCAGGTAGCTAACAAATAATGGGAACAAGTAAATAGCAGGTAGCTAACAGGTAATGGGAACAAGTAAATAGTAGCTAACAAGTAATGGGAAAAGGTAAATAGCAGAAAGCTAACAATTAATGGGGACAGGTAGCTAACAAGTAACGGGAGCAAGTAAATAGCAGGTAACTAACAAGTATTAGATGCAGGTAGCTGACAAGTAATTGGAGCAGAACAATGGCAGGTAGCTAGCAATTAATGAGAGCAAGTAGCTAGCAAGTAACTAATAGGTAATGGAAGCAGGTAAATAGCAGGTAACAAGTAATGGGAGCAGGTCAATAGCAGGTAGCTATCAAGTAATGGGAGCAGGTCTATAGCAGGTAGCTAACAAGTAATGGGAGCAGGTCTATAGCAGGTAGCTAACAAGTAATGGGAGCAGGTCAATAGCAGGTAGCTAACAAGTAATGGGAGCAAGTCTATAGCAGGTAGCTAACAAGTAATGGGAGCAGGTCAATAGCAGGTAGCTAACAAGTAATGGGAGCAGGTCTATAGCAGGTAGCTAACAAGTATTGGGAGCAGGTCTATAGCAGGTAGCTAACAAGTAATGGGAGCAGGTCAATAGCAGGTAGTTAACAAGTAATGGGAGCAGGTCTATAGCAGGTAGCTAACAAGTAATGGGAGCAGGTCTATAGCAGGTAGCTAACAAGTAATGGGAGCAAGTCAATAGCAGGTAGCTAACAAGTAATGGGAGCAGGTCAATAGCAGGTAGCAAACAAGTAATGGGAGCAGGTCAATAGCAGGTAGCTAACAAGTAATTGGGAGCAGGTCTATATCAGGTAGCTAACAAGTATTGGGAGCAAGTCAATAGCAGGTAGCTAACAAGTAATGGGAGCAGGTCTATAGCAGGTAGCTAACAAGTAATGGGAGCAAGTCAATAGCAGGTAGCTATCAAGTAATGGGAGCAGGTCAATAGCAGGTAGCTAACAAGTAATGGGAGCAGGTCTATAGCAGGTAGCTAACAAGTAATGGGAGCAGGTCTATAGCAGGTAGCTAACAAGTAATGGGAGCAGGTCTATAGCAGGTAGCTAACAAGTAATGGGAGCAAGTAAATAGCAGGTAGCTAACACGTAATGGGAGCAGGTCTATAGCAGGTAGCTAACAAGTAATGGGAGCAGGTCTATAGCAGGTAGCTAACAAGTAATGGGAGCAGGTCAATAGCAGGTAGCTAACAAGTAATGGGAGCAGGTCTATAGCAGGTAGCTAACAAGTATTGGGAGCAGGTCTATAGCAGGTAGCTAACAAGTATTGGGAGCAGGTCTATAGCAGGTAGCTAACAAGTAATGGGAGCAGGTCAATAGCAGGTAGCTAACAAGTAATGGGAGCAGGTCTATAGCAGGTAGCTAACAAGTATTGGGAGCAGGTCTATAGCAGGTAGCTAACAAGTAATGGGAGCAGGTCAATAGCAGGTAGCTAACAAGTAATGGGAGCAGGTCAATAGCAGGTAGCTAACAAGTAATGGGAGCAGGTCTATATCAGGTAGCTAACAAGTAATGGGAGCAGGTCTATAGCAGGTAGCTAACAAGTATTGGGAGCAGGTCTATAGCAGGTAGCTAACAAGTAATGGGAGCAGGTCAATAGCAGGTAGCTAACAAGTAATGGGAGCAGGTCAATAGCAGGTAGCTAACAAGTAATGGGAGCAGGTCAATAGCAGGTAGCTATCAAGTAATGGGAGCAGGTCAATAGCAGGTAGCTATCAAGTAATGAGAGCAGGTCAATAGCAGGTAGCTAACAAGTAATGGGAGCTCTTAGCCACCAGTTACCATAATCCAAACTACATGGCTAAATCATCACACACTTGTTACATCAACGTGGTAAATAAGTTGGTTATCTCAAAAAGACTTGCTTATGTGGTTTCTGACATCGTATGACTCACTGTTATCAGTAAAAGTGGATAAAGTGCATTGCATAGCTCAAGACAATAGTAGAAGCCTGAATTTTGCCTTAGATAACAGCATGTCACAACATTTAAGATTACTAACGTGATGGCTAAAGCTTCTATTACGTAGCTACGTTTGTCTTGAAGCACACTTTGGACACTTTGAATTTTGGAGTAAGTTGTCTTTTGTCTGACCAATGTCTGTTTGTGTGTGACCATTACATCCTCTGACCTCTCTCTCTACTTTGCCCTGACCTTAGGAGAAAGAGGGCGACTGGAACCTGGTGATGGTGGTTGCCGTGGCAGCAGCAGTGGTTTTGCTGGTGCCCAGTTTGACCAGAGCTTTTTCTTGAGTCTTGGACAGGAAGTGACCTCATCCACCAACGTTGTCTCTACCTGCCTGCTTATGTTCTCTGTGGTATACACACCAACACATGCAACTTCCATAACCGCACATGAGGAATTCTCCTGAAATGGGCGTGATGCTGTACAGTTCGGGAGACCATAGGAACACAATCAGCCTCTAAATCCAGTGCTTTTGTTTCTTGTCTTGCTGCTCTGGTTGTACGCTCTTCTTGCTCTGTTGTCCTCCATGCCTCTATAGATAAAAAGGGTCCGCTTGACAGGGACCAGACACGGATGCAGTGCTGTGGACTGTGATGCATCGCCCACGCTGTGCTAAAGCACAAAGAGATGGAGAAGATGCAGAAAATGCATAAAAAAAGGATTTTGGCTGTCTTCACTCATTTTGATAATCTCAACCATCTTTACCAACTGAGTTCTTTATTTTATTTTACTGAATGCTGACCGTTTTAGAGGACTAAAGATCTATTTGCCTTATTTACATCTCAAATGGATCTCTTTCTTTCATGAGTTTAAGCATATAGATTATCAGTCTCTCATCACTGCTGCTTTAGATACAGTCTTGCTTCAGTCTCACTGCTTTTAAGATGTGTTGTGGCAGCATGTGACATGATGCTTATCTAAAATCTTCCAGTTTTGTCACTTTCCAAATATTGCCTGTTCCACTGGGGAATTCTTTTATTAGTCTTTTATGCTTTGTTAGTTTTGACACAGAAATGACTCTTTGTTCTAAAGCATGCATCATACAGTTTCACCAATAACTATGTAATTGTAATCGTACTATCAGTGGTTTGAGTGAGTTTGCAACATTCAAAGTGTTTTTCATGGTTCAAGGGATAAAGCACTGTTCATTGTGGAGGATCTAGACAAATGAGACTATGACAAAAGTAAGCTTAAGTTCAGATTAAATGTGAACAATAGTGACAGTATACAGTTCTACAAAAAAATACACTATAAATGCTCACTTAACAGTCTTAACCATTTAAAGTGGGATAGATATTTTTGTATGTTTGTGTGTTTAATCAAATGGAATTGATTTAATGAGAAATGATAGAAGAGAGTGAAAAAACTATTTTTATACACAGCTAAACTGCAGTGCATACTCCAGTATTATAATACTTGTTGGTAGCAATCAGAGAATTACATTTCAGAGCAAACGTTCTCTTTAGCAGCTCATACAGTGCAGTCCATATGTAACTGGACGGTGAAACAGTGCTTTGGTTTTCTCTCTGTATTCCAGCAAATTGGATTTTAAGTGTTACAGTGAAACACTGGCTGAAGTGCAGAATATCAGCTTTTTGGGTTTTTACATTTATATCACAGCTCTTTACATATATAGTCATATGCAAAGGTTTGGGCACCAAATTACAATTTTTAATGCACAACTTCTGTTTATTTGCTGAATTTAACATATTGGGAAAAAAAAAAACATAAAATATGGCCTGTGCAAAAGTTATGTCACATTATATATTTTATATTTAGTTTTTTTTCCAATCTCTGAAACTCAAATTTGCAGTATTTTAGTGCACAAGTTCCCTGTAGGGGATGTGTTCAACAAAACATGTAATTTGACCAGCAGTTTTGAAACTTTTATATATGCCTGTATCCTCACCATCACGATGAAACACTGTATCTCCGAAATGGTAACTTTAAAGTAGAGGGAAAAAACTTAATTTTGAACAATAATATAAGAAGATTTGTTTTCCAAAAAAAATAAAAAACAACAAAAATGAAGATTCAGTTTTGTTCCGACAGCAGCAATAGGAACAATTGGATACTCATATGTTATTTGCCCAGCTGCATGGCTGCATTATTAGTTTTTGCACAAAAGAGCTAATGAAGGGTCTACATTCTAGATATGTTATTTGCATTTGGGCTTGCTGTTCTTTCTCCACATGAAGACCAAAGAAGTGTTACAGTCAGTAAAGCAGGACATCTTGAAGCTTTAAAGTCAGAAACAAAAACACAGGCAAAACATCAAGTGTATGCACAGATCATGAACACTATCTGGAATGTATGCAGAATTCTGACCACCACAAAGAGACCAAAAAAGCCTTCAACACAAAGGTGCTGGCAGAGCATCATCATGGAACATAACCAACATCTGGTGATGTCTATGGTTTGCAGACTTCAAGCAGTCTTGGAGAGACTGCATGTAAACAGTGCTATGATTTCTGCATTGTTCACCCAGTACGGATATGGATCCTCTTTAGAATTCATGCTGAAGTTCTGCACTTTAACCTCAGTCATTATTATATTTCAAAGCCACAACAGATGCTGTGACACTGTCCAGTTACTCATAGACTTCAATGTATATTTAGTTCAGTTCCTCTAGGAGTAGCCATCTAACTTCAGGATTATATACGTAAAGGCAACAATGCGTATAATAATGTGCTCACTACATTCCTAAATATTACATAAAGAGTAAACACATTGATGTGGTATATATATTGATGCATGCATGGTGCAACTCAGATGTGTAGCACAAAAACACTACCTTTACCTGAAGTATGCAGCTAGATACACAAATTATGCACTTTCTGTCTTCAAAATTGTTTGCAAAGCATAAATAAAAGAAGAGTTTATTCAAAAAGCTAACAATACGTAAAAGATAATAGCTGCCATTTAGCATTATGCAAATGATCATGCTAACTGGTGCATTGCTAGCCACAGTAGCATGTTAGCTGTCTCTTCAATGATTTTGACAGTATTTCCTCTTTTGGTTGTCTGTAATATTACTGCCACTGTAAACTATCAGTGTTATAAACTCTCACAACTCATTTTATTACTCCAGACGTTCATCTCTACGACTATTAAAACAGTTAATTACTACCCAAATTCAAAAAGTGTAGCTGAAGATGAGCTAAAGCACATATCAGAGTGGTTTTGAGTGTGTTGGTGATTCTGTGCCTCTTTCGTAACGTGGCTTTAAAGCATAGAAGAGATTCCCACACTAACACACGTTAGAGCAATGCTGCACTGGGCTTATCTGCGGTGTGCCTAGGTTGTTGCAATGCTGTCTTCCGGTATCTTGTGGATAGATGAACACTTTAGACCTCATTGCTAGCGCAGCTGAATGTGTATCGATGTACTAACGGTCAGTGACTTTATAAGATGATGCATGCTACACAGTAAAGCTTATTTTCTATCCAAACATGGTATTTGTACTGTACTGTAAATACTTCAGTGGGTATACAGCTTTGGTGGGATATACTGTGAAACTGGACGCAAAGCCTTCAAATGGAAAGTCTCATTGTAATCACAGAGCCGTCTGGGATATTGTATAGTTTTTAGAACATAATGAACACAGCTGGCAGTCTTGACAGGCCTCAGTGGGTGTTTGTAAATGATATAAACTTTGGCGTGGTTGCATGTATCTCACTGTGGCTTTGCATGCAGTCTGATAGTAGTAATTAGGTTTTTTTTTAAAACAAGTAGCCTACAAATGGCAGTGAACACTGCATGAGTCCGTTTGCCTTTACCAAAATTGTTGTTACAATTCCAATTGGTTCCATTTGCAGTTAATTACCCTTTTTTAACAAATTTGGGTTGTTAATAAGGTGTAATCAGTTTTGTCTGTGTTCTGTATTATCTTGTGTTCTGTCTATGTGTATTTCTAAAGTCCGATTCAGAAATTGTACGCTTCAATTAATCAAGTTTGCTCGCCCAGTTTATATAAAAACCTTTATTTACAAGAATTTAGCTCACTTGTATTAACACCATAAAAAAGATACATTAGTTAAGGTTCTGTAGGTCAAGGCGAATATTTGTCTGACAAAATCCTGTTGGCTTTCATACTGTAAACTTGTGTAAATAATATCATAAGGATGTAAGCATGGAAGACATTGTAAAGCCTGTTGCAAGACGCATTTTTCAACCCTATACTTGGTTTTCATTCTCACACACTTGTACTAGATAATATACTGTACATGCATATCTCTGAATATACGCTTCCTCACTGTTTTAAGTCCATTTTCTTCCATCATATATGAACATTTCTCTTCTGTTCTGTCGAGATCTTAATGGAAGTATAGCTTTAAATGGGTCTGGTTTTAGTAAATAAGTACAAAATATCCATGACATTAGTAAACGATGCTTTAATTGGAAGGTGTTGATGTGTGGCTTTGTGGAGATGCTGTTGACTGTCTCTCTGTGTGACATAACTGTATTGTGTGACATGGTTACATGTTGTTATGCCTTGACAGGCATTTGTGTAAAAAAAACAAGACAAAATATTGAGTATTTTGGTAATCTGACTGTACATTTTGTAAATGATCTGAAAGAAATAAAGTAGTTTATCCATGTACTTTTCTTTTTTATGCTAGTCGTCTATGTATTACTATGTAGGACTGACATACAGCACTGTACAAAAGGGGGATATAAGAAATATAAGAAAATGGTACGTAAAGCCATTTATCAGAAAGAAAACTCCATTTAAAATAAACACAAATAAATAAATAAATAATAGATTGTGAATTTATGTCACCATGTGTTAGCTCATCCATTTCCAAAGCTCTATTTGAAGAGGTCCAGTATTTACAGTTACCATGCAATACCTAGTTTATGTAATCAGTCCTTAAATTAAATCAGGTGCTGCTGATGGAATTTACTACTAACTGTATTCTTTTAACCAGAATATTAATAACTGTGTTCAAAAATTTGGAATAATTTGTCATAATAACAACTGCTATTATGTTATTCAATAATAATAAAAAACCCAAGACAAATATAGTTTATAATAGTGTAAATTCAACTCAGAAGGTATTTGTAGACATTATATTCAATTTTTTTATATTATAAAAACAAGCAAAAAATTATTAAATGATAAATAATATACTGTATTTATTTACAGTACTTTTTTGTTAAGTTTTTGCTAATTTAGTTGTATATGTTCATGATGGTAGTGGTTATTTGATCAACACTTTTCAAATTTGAGGCATTCTAAATGTTTTTATTCTATTTTCATAATCAAAGTTGACTATAACTCTGTTCATCATTCTTTTTTTTATTTAGCATAAAAAAGAAAAAAAAAACAGCATTTATATATAAACATTTATATACTTCTGTTAATTAACATGTTTATATTTCATATAGAGTCCAGAATTAATCCAGATTTAATTGGCCTGGTCAGAGTCCAGATGTAAACCCTATAAAGAATATTTGGTCTCACATTAAACACAAACTAGCTTGTCAGTGTTTTTTAACTGTTTGAAGCCGTCAGTGCTGAGCGGAACAATATTGACTCTTCTTTGTCTGCAAATTTACACACAAAATTTCAACATTTAAAGAAATCAGAGGGAAACACTCTCCTATATTAAGTTATTTTAACTCTTTGTTTAATGATTTAAAGGCGATCATTAAAAGCTCAATGTTTTGCCATATATACACACAGTTATATACTTTTAGTATATACACCAATCAGGCATAACATTATGACCACCTCCTTGTTTCTACACTCCTTGTCCATTTTATCAGCTCCACTTACTTTATAGGTTCACTTTGTAGTTCTACAATTACAGACTGTAGTCCATCTGTTTCTCTGCATACTTTGTTAGCACCCTTTTACCCTGTTCTTCAGTGGTCAGGACCCCCTTGGACCCTCACAGAGCAGGTACTATTTGGGTGGTGGATCATTCTCAGCACTGCAGTAACACTGACGTGGTGGTGGTGTGTTAGTGTGTGTTGCGCTGGTCTGAGTGGATCAGACACAGCAGTGCTTCTGGAGTTTTTAAACACCTCAGTGTCACTGCTGGACTGAGAATAGTCCACCAACCAAAAATATCCAGCCAACAGCATCCTGTGACCACTGATGAAGGACTAGAGGATGACCAACATAAACTGTGCAGCAGCAGATGAGCTATCGTCTCTGACTTTACATCTACAAGGTGGACTGACAAGGTAGGAGTGTCTAATAGAGTGGACAGTGACTGGACACTGTGTTTAAAAACTCCAGCAGCACTGCTGTGTCTGATCCACTCGTACCAGCACAACACACACTAACACACCACCACCATGTCAGTGTTACTGCAGTGCTGAGAATGATCTACCACCCAAATAGTACCTGCTCTGTGAGGGTCCATGGGGGTCCTGGACTACAGTCTGTAATTGTAGAACTACAAAGTGCACCTATATAGTAAGTGGAGCTGATAAAATGGACAATGAGTGTAGAAACAAGGAGGTGGTCATAATGTTATGCCTGATTGGTGTATACAGTTCATCATTCTGAACACAAAATCTAAATGTCTTCATTTTTAATTAGCTGAAATCTGTGAAATCTGTGGAGTAGTAACATCATAATGGAACCATTTTAAACATTTATCTCCAATATTCTTTTTTTATAACAACTCAAAACTGAGATTCCAAACTTCTGAATGCTGGTGCATTTATTTTAACGTTCTATGGTGATTCTACTGGGAAAACACTTTTACGACCAAGATAAATAGTCTTAAACAATTTTCTTGGGTGCCTTTTGCACAGTAGAGTATACTGTTATATTGTATGCTCTTAAAAATAAAGATGCCAGAAAGGGTTCTATGGCATGATGCCATACACAAACCACTTTTGATTTCCTAAAGGACCTTTCAATGGATGATTCTTTGAAAAATCATTGTTGTGAAATGAAATGTGAGAAGTGTGAAGAACCTGTTTAAAGAACCTCCACATAATGTAAAGATTCTATACCAGCAGCTTATTCCTAGAAAAGTATGTCTTAGCTAAGAGCCATTTAGGAACCTTTATTTTTAGGAGGGCAGTCTTGTGAACTGATGTTCTTACCTCATTTCTGTTATGTGGTTCTAATATGGGAAGACAGAGCATGAGGTCAGAGACAATTTATCCTATTTTTCTGAGTAACTATCACTGTAAATAGCTGAATAGTGATGATAATAATCTCTATGTATCATTTTCTGAGAGTTCCACCTTTAAATCTACTTCATTTTCCCTGCCGCTATGTCAGTGTACTGTGAACGACCCCTGACATTTGCTCTTCTCTCGTCGCTGAGGTTTTTTACTTCCAAACCCCGGAGACGGGAGACTCCATTAACATGCCGAGATGCTAAGTCAGAGAGATGACATCATACTACAATACTGGGAGTGCCCCAGGGCTATTTATGGACTGTGTATGTCACTGTGTGGAGAAGATGAGCTTTTTCTACGCCTTTCTTCTCATGTTTTTGGGACCACATGGGTGTAAGTGAGTCAAGACATCATATGGTGAGTTCAGTCCACAGGAGGTCCCTTCTTCCAGTAACTCTGGCCGACACCTCCCTTAGCAATGGTTTAGTCACTGTTGACCACTGCAGCGGTAGCTCTGAGTTGCACAAGAATTCACATATTCTGTTTCACTTTCCAACCCACAAACTCATTCAGTACAAACATTACATCAGTCAGATGGACTCAGAATAGCTTCATCTGAAAGTCTGCTTTAGGTCTAAAAGTGTTTATAGATAATTGGCTTAATCTTTTGTGTAATTTTTGCATCAATCAACCTAAAAGCACTTTTTGAAGCAAACAAATATGTGTTTTTTAAAGGGGCACTCCAGCCTTTTTTTCAAAATCTCTGCATAAGTCAATCGTTGAGATGTAAACAAAGTCATTTAGAGTAGTGTATTTAATGTTTTAAGCAAAAACCTATTCTCAAGATTATCGTAAAGCAATGTTTCAGGTCAGCATATGTGTAACCAGGTTCATGTGATGAGCTTGTATGATGTAGTTTTAGAGGCATTAAACTCTTCAGATGTCTGGTTCCTATCACTGTTGAGAATGATTCTGACTTGGCTAATTTCTCTAGAATGGCGCATTTCACATCAAAACACCTTTTTGTTTATATTGCAATGATTCAATTGTGCAGAATTTTTAAAAAATTGGCCGAATTCCCCTTTAAGCTCAAACACTTCTGCTTTAACTTTTGTCTGAAGTCTGATATACGGTGTATATGGCAAAGATAAAGGGGGATAACTGGCTTCAACGTTCCAGAGTTCATTACGTTAATGTTATAAAAACATTAATGTTATAGTTTCCCAATGTTAGCTCTAAGGATTATAACACAGTCACAGATCCTACCCTATGACATTTTAAAATAAGCCTAATTTAAACTCCCGAACTGTATTCTCGACTAGCTAATGTGCTCCGGCGCTTTTATTGGCCATCCTCATCATCATCAAACCCGCTTTTCACTTTCATATGTCCACCCAGAGACTTCTGTGTTGAAGATGTAACGTAAACGCCTTGAAATAAAGTTCAGAAATAAACCCCATTCAGCACCTAACCACATGCTAGTGCTAGTGCTACATACTTAACACAGGACTATGGATCACCAGCTGTATTAATAAGCCGACCAAGGCCTTACAGAAATGACCTCATGGTCTAGAATAAGTGGTGTGTCAAAAATGGGGCCCTTAGCCTTTATTAATAAACAAACCACATATTTATAAATCACACGGTCATGTTCATGGTCTCTTCTTCGCACTCTGCGACACGCGTTTAGCACGCTGTGTGTAAATTTACCACCTCTGTCTATAAGGTTGTGAAGTCACTTGCCTTTCTTGGCCTCAATTGTTAAGGGTCGTTCAGCTCAGACTGTTTTTTTACGACACTGCACCCAGTTTAGGGAGCCGTTATGTTTTCCACACCCGTATTCCGACAAGCCCCGCCCTCCTGCGCTAGGATTGGCTAGAAGTTCGCAGGAACAAAAACTATTAGCCAATCTTAGTGCAGGGGCGGGGGCGGGGTCTGTGCGAAAACGGGTGTGGAAAAAAACAACAACAACGCATTTGGGAGGCCTAAAAATACTCATCACTGTAACAGCCGTCGCAGCTCTTGGGGGTCGCAGCCAATCCCTTTCCCCCGCGTGCGCCCCGGCCAATCAGACGCCGTATCGGTATCCCAGCGAGATTAGACCCTTAGTTACCCGTCCCACAGTTGTATATGGTCATGATGACAGCGGCATACCATGAAATCCACTGGACTGACGTGAGCCGGAGGGTCTCAGGAGTTTTTTTTAAGCCTTCTCTGACCACTTGCTTTATTTAAACCATTCAAGTGTAGCTAGCAGAGGCCACGACAGCCCCCAGCTCCAACGCCGCCGAGCGCTGGTCTCTTCTACCCGTCTCTCTCTCTCACCCTCTCTCTCTCTCTCGCTTCAGAACTTTTCTTCAGAGGTCGTTAGCCTGCTTTCACTCTTTTTGGGGACTAAATAACGTTCATTTCTTACGTTCGCAGTTGGCGTGAAGACGAAAACTTGGCTCGGAATAGGAAAACAAATACCCAACAGTCTCATTCAGCTTTTTTGTCCAAAAAACAGCCTGAGAAACTCGCTGCCTCACCGTCTTCCAACTTTTTAACGGTTTTTTTTTTTACCTCAGCGAGCGCGCGCGCCTGGTACTGCCCTCGCTCCCCCCCGTCCACCCGCCCGCTTGTGGTAAAGCCTCAGTGATTGCCGTATAAAAAGGGGGCGCGCGAAAAAGCGAAAACATGATGAGCAACAACGCATACTACGAACCGCAGCGGCAGCAGCAGCAGCAGCAGCAGCCCACACTGTACTACCAGGGCACTACGGACGACGGCGAGGAAGGAGACGAGGAGATGCCGGCCACAGAGAAGGACCTGGCGGAGGACGCGCCCTGGAAGAAGATCCAGCAGAACACCTTCACCAGGTGGTGCAACGAGCACCTCAAGTGCATCAACAAGAAGATCGGCGACCTGCAGAGAGACCTGAGCGACGGCCTCAAGCTCATTGGGCTGCTGGAGGTCCTGAGCCAGAAGAAAATGTACAGAAAGTACCACGCCAGACCCAACTTCAGGCAGATGAAACTGGAAAACGTGTCCGTCGCGCTGGAGTTCCTCGAAAGGGAGCACATCAAACTCGTATCGATAGGTAAGTGGCGTCTGGCAGAGATGGGGGCGTGGGGGGCTTTGCTGCAAAAAAGTTAAAGGGCAGCTCCACCCGTTTTTCAAAATTTGTGCATGATTAAATGGTTGAGATGTAAACAAAGTCAGTCAGAGTTGTACGGTGTGAAATGCGCAGTTCTAGAGAAACTAAGTCAGAATTGCTCACAGTGGTGGTGATAGGAACCAGACGTCTGAAGAGTTGAATGGCTTTGAAAGCTCTCTTACAAAGTTGTACACAAAATGGTTATGAATACACTGGCTGGGACGTTGTTTTGCGACAGTTTGTGGCCTAAAACGTCTTGTTAATCCATTTATTTTAATCCATTCATATGCAGAGCACCAGAAGCCAAGCTAGTCACCCTCTAAAAAAACTTTTAAAATTTTCAGATTTTCCTCTATTTTACCATCATAATCATGACATATAAAAACTAACAAGACACGTGTAGATTCTCTGGTGGTTTAGGATGGTAAATAAAATGCCTATATTTGTGTAGTAGACATGGTGACCCTTGATTCCTATCACCACCACTGTAAAGAAATCTGAGTCTGTAACTTTCTCTACAACGAGCCATTTTTACATCAAACCACTCTGAAGGAGTTTGTTTACATTGCAACATCGGAATTATGCAAACAAATTGAGAAATGGGTGGAATTCCCCTTTAATGCACACTTCAAACACTGGAGAGAGCTAGTGGCCTCAGTTCCACTTGCTAATAGTAGGGGGCGCCTTTGAGATACATTATTGACAGCTGTACAGCTGCCTCATCTTCAATGAGTGCAAATGAGTGATTAGCCTGTTAGCCAGTCCACTGAAGCCTCTAATGTGAACTGAGCAACTGCTAAACTTTCTTTGACCTTCCCATTTGTTTGAATTTGGCCATGGTGAGCTTTGAATGAGTGGCTTTGTCTCTTCACTCATGCGGAGTGCTGGTGCAGAGTTTGTTCACTACCCAAAAAGCATCATGTGTGCTGTTAGGCTGATGAAAAGTGGGTGAAGTCACCGGTTCTGTCACAGTGAGGTTTGTTTGTCGAATGATGCTGTTACAACCTGGCTTATTTGGGGGTGAGCAGTATAACAGTATTTATCGTGCTAAATTCCCTCACAATATGCTTTTCTGAGTCTGATATCATCAGTACTTAAATGAGAATTCCATCAATTTCTTCTCAAAATCTCTGCATAATACAATCATGGAGATATAAACAAGGTAATTCTGAGTGTTTTTATGTGAAATGGTGCATTGTAGAGAAACCTACTGACTCAACAGACTCTCAGTAACACGTCAAAAACATATGAGGATTAGGATTAGATCTTGGGTTGAGGTTAAGGTTAGGGTTAGGGCCAATATTATTGTGCATCTCTAGTAATTTCTTCCTGTTTAATTGGGTTTAGTTCAACACAGTGGGTAAAACTGAATAAAATCAATATGCTCAGTTTTTGATAGTTATTTTGAAATGTGGCACTAGAGGTGGGCCATAGTTCGATATCTTATCTTTATCATGATCATTTTTGCTATCATGACAAACAAAACACTTTTGTAGGCATATCATGGACATCGTAGTACTTAAACAACACTGCATGTTTCATTAAAAGGAGAGAATAATTAGTCCTGTTCATTGGAATTTAGTACAGCGTAGCACAGTATGTGAAACATTGAATGAAATCCATTGTTCCATTGAAAATGTCTTTAATTATCATATATAATATTTTTGCCAATTGCTCTACTGGTTCATCTGTTCCAACTTATCAAACCTCAGCAAAACTAAATATCACTATACATAATATGTATCATGAAAACCAGCTATTGTGATAATTGCCTTTTCACCCTCCTCTAGTACGTGTGTGTTCTTGAAATTCTATAAGCTGAGAAGTTGACTGAGCTGAAATCAGTTACAGCAACATGAACAGCAGTGTATTACTGTGCATGACTGACACAGGTAGTAGTGGAATATTGTGCCATACCAGTTTAATGATGCACTGGCATATTTACTACAGCATTTCTCACTCAAAAACCACAGTGAGCCAGAAACACGCCTGAGGGTGTTTTTGAGATGCACATGATCAATGCTGATCTTGTTTCACTGGGTCTCTTCAACTGGAAATACTGCTGGCTTAGAATAACCGTTGAACAAAATTGATCTTTGCCGTTGAATGTGAGTGCGCAGGTTATTTGGGGTAATTGTCAGTACTAATATTTCCTAGTGTGTAACAAATGCTTTATTAAAAAAACAAATTTAGTTAATCCATAAGTTCTAACGCTATATACACTCACTGGTCACTTTTGTAGAAATCCTTGTCTTGAAAGTCCACATTGCTGGTGCACAGTTAGTGCTGGGCAGTATTGATACAATTTAATATCACAATATTTTCCAAATATATGATGTTACCAGATATGACTGTTAATAAAGTATTAATAAAGCCAATGATCATGAGTACTGGTACTCTACACTAAAAGAATGTCTTACAAACCTGATACAAACTGTTTTGTTCTCTTTTAGTTCTCTTTTATTCTCTTAAAATCACAGCAAAGGGAATCATATGCAGTGTACCACATTTCCAGAAAGAAAAATGACTACTTATTGAATTATTATGTAATTTGAACTTTTTCACCAAACAGCCTGAAACAACCAGCAAATGGCATCAAATGGCATAGATCACAGTTAGCTGGAATACTGCTATTGTGTGGGCATTATACTATTGACATATTGTTCATTATTTATCAAATATAGAGCTACAAATATGGCTAAAATTGGAAGGATCATAGGACATCAGTATCACTGCTAAAAGGTATAGACCAGTGACCCACCACTGTCACCCAGCATTGAGCACTAACTATTGCCATGCACAAATTGTGTTATCCATTCTCTCGCTCTTTATTAGAATCACATGTGGCCGGATATTTTTGGGTAGCGGACCACCTAGCAATGACACCGATGTGTGTAAAAACCCAGCATCCCTTTGGTCAAAAACTGACAAAACTGACAGGGGGGTTACAGTCAGTAATTTACAGTGGATCTATAAGGTTAGAAGACATAAACTGGCCTGTCATTGGAAGTGCAAACTAGATGTTTCTAATAAAGAGGATGATGAGTGAATTCCTTGGTAAGACAGTGCAGAGATGGTGCGGTAGAATTAGGCTGTTCGAAGACATTGCTTTTTAGTGGGCTTAACTCATATGCATAAAGGGTCAAAGTTTAAAGTAGGTCAGATTTGCATTTAATTCAGTATACTGAGGGTAGTAAGAATGAACAGAGGGATGTCAGTCCAAGGGTAGGTGGAACACACTGTGTGTGTTCCTTTCACCAGAAAGAAACTCAATACAAACACCAAGATTGTTGTCAGTGTCAACTAAATAAATCCAGCTGAATGCAGTTCAGCCTGGGTGAATACTTTTTGGCAGGCTGAGTGTTTGGTGGCTCTGCACATGAGACTGAAAAAAGGTGAGAGACAGGAGTGCTGGACAGAATGAGTGAAATTCATGTGTGTCCAGTTATCAGATGACGTTTAAATTAACATTAATATTTTTAATGAACCCATACTTCCCATCTACTGAAAGAATGTCTGCCAAAGCTGACGTGACTTGTTTTGACTGGACTGCTTTGTTTTGTTTTGTTTTCTTAAAATTACATCAAAAGAAACCTCATTGAATTCAGTTCCATTCACATCTATTTGAATAGCACATTGTGCAATAGATCCGTGAAAACCAGTGACTGCTGTTAGAAGCTTATTTCAATGACACGTTAGCATGAGAGAAAAAGTATAAGAAAGTAAAGATGCACTTTTAATGCCATAAACTAAATAAATCTTGTGATTGTGAATTTCATTGTGCTGACATAGACGATATATCGTGCTAGAGAATAATCTGCAGTATCCACTGTGGTTTGCTGACTGATGTCCGCATACAAGTGACCCCTGTTCTGATTGGACGCCTTGTATTGTGCCTCATTCAAAAAGCAGACCAGGCTGAAACAGTCCTTATAACTTCATTGTAAGTGGGAGGAGCTAACAGGCTGAATTGACATATATATGTAAATGCATTTCTGTGATATCACAAACATGAGTTCATTTTGCTGCTTAGTTTCCATATATGGACCATCTTTAACAGTGTTTATATACGATATCAAACTCTTTTATTTCAAAAAAGCAAGGGAAATTTGGTTTTCCATGATTTGGGCCCTTTAAGAGTGGAAGTAATAAAACAGATAAAGCAGATCAAATGCTAGCAGATGAAGACTGACTCAGTCTGAATGGAATTAGATGAAGAGGAGAGATGGAAGAAGAGGAAGGCCAGACAGATCTGGGGGCAGTATAGAGGGGGGACATTACTTTAGACTGAGAGCAGATGTGTGTTTGAGGTGGTCACAGTGTGAGCGCCAGGGGGAAATAGGTCAGCAGACTGAGACAGTGACACCCATGCGAGAGCAGCTTGTGTCCGGCCTGGCTGCTGCTGGTGATAAGATGGATCTTTCCAGAAGGACATCTGCCATGGATTCCTCTCTGTGGCTTAGAGTGTCGAGTGATAGGGGAACAGGAAAACCTCCTGGACCCCCCTCTCTTACTCACACACTGCGTGCAAAATGCAAGTGGCTGTGTCACATGGGGGTTGGCCCGCTGCCTCGACAGGAAACACTGCTCTGCTATGTTGCCCAACGCTTTAGGCCTAACCGTTAGGCCTAACCATCAGATACACACACACCTGTGTGCACATGTTGGTATACATGTATGCAGACTCCTATTCATGTACAATTAAATACAAGACGTGTTTTTAGCTGTCACTTTAAAGGAGAAAGAGTTGCAGAAATAACTGCGATCGGCTCAAATAATTGTGATCAGACCATTATATAATAATTGTGGCAGGGCTAATCTTCACACAGTATAAAGGGCAGATGCTGTTTTGATATAATGGCAATGATATGATGGCCTTTCTTCATGCAGTGTTCAGTTCCATGACACCTTCTGATTGCTTGTGTTCCAAACAGAGCTCCAGA